TAAAGAAGCAGAAGCTGGAATTACATGACCATTGTGCACAGCTGGAGCAGCAATTAGATCAATCAAAAAGGAAGACAATGGATTTGTTCGAAACAGCAGAGTTCCTAGAGGCAAAACTCTCTACACTTCAAAAAGAGGTAACTTTAAAAGAGCAATCTTTGCTTTCAGAGCTGGAGAATATATTCCAGGAGCACAAGGAACACGAAGAAAGGATAAATAGTGCACATTTCCTTTTACACAAGATAGAGAACGAAAAGATTGGTGAAGTGAAGAATCTTGAGAGGGAGGTCATGAGCCTTACTGCACAGCTGTCCTCCACAGATGGGGAGAAAGAAAGTGCTGCCTTGGATAGCATACATGAGGTCTCCATCCTGCGAGCAGACAAGGCTAAACTTGAGGCTAACCTTGAAGATGTCAGTGCACAAATGAGACATTTTCAGTCTCAGTTGGAAGATCTTCGTACAGAGTCTAAAACCAAAATTAAAGGCCTGATTGATTCGCTTAACGCATCCAAACATAATGAGGAAACGCTGACAACAGATGTTGAGCATATGACAAGATTGATGGAAGCTGCTAGATCCAATGAAGAAAACTTAAGGAAAACTTCAGACGAACTAGAGTTGAAGTATAAATCCAGTGATTATGAGAAACAGGAAGTAATGGAGGAAATTTCTGGACTAAAAATCCAGGTTAGCAAAATGGCAAGCATCCAAGATGAAGTTTTCAAACTACAAAGTTCTCTTGATCAGGCTAAGTTTGAAAAGACAAAATTAGAAGAGCGTATGCAGTCACTATCTGAAGAATGTGAAGAACTAAAGGTGCAGAAGGCCATGTTAACAGACAAAGTCTCTTGTATCCAGAGTACTTTGCATGATGCCGATGAAGAAAATCGTCGTAAATCCACTCAAGCAAAGCTTGTAGTAAATAAGGTGAGCCATTTAGAATTATACCTCAACTTGTTCTAGATCAGGGTTTACGTAGATTTAAATGTGATGGCCATGTGCACTATTTTCACTTAACTATTTCCTTGCTACTTTAGGGTAATGACGACGCTGCTAATGACAATGGAGGTACTCATGTTAATGAAGATCTAGACATTCACTCAAAGCTAGAATTACTGGAGGCTAGACTTGCTGATGCATTGGAGGAAAATAAATCATATAGGGCGCAGCTGCAAAGGTTTAGTGATTTATCGCATCCCTCCTCCCTCTGACATCTGTTACTAGCAAAACTCATTTTTCACTAGATTTCCTTTGCTATACCATGTATATGGGAGTCTTAATTAAACTCCCATGTTCTGAAGGCTGCAGACCATCTATGCCACTCCATTAAGCATTAAAAAGAAGTATTTCGCTACAAATCAAACGTCAGATTTTTTAGCATGGCAAATCGAACGCCTGAGATGGCAAATTATATCGTCGTGAGGATGTCAATTTCCTTTAGCAAGCATGGCAAATTCTTGCCATGTTTAGTTCTTTGCCAGGATTTGCCATGCTTGCTAAAGGAAATTGCCATCCTGGCGACAACACAATTTGCCATAAAAAACAGTTGATTTGCCATGGTTAAAAATCGACGTCAGATTTTTAACATTCCCATAATAAGAAACAACATTCATGTAAAATTATCCATGTGGTATTAACTATTCTATACAAAAAATGTTCAAAAATAAAAAACTATTCTATACAAAAAGATAGTTTGGATGCATGCTCCCAGCTGCTTTTCAGCCTTTACTTGCTGCTGTCACCAGTGCATCTAATATAAGGGTGCAACATTGCCGCCCCCAGATGGTCTCCTTGTGCAGAATACATCCATTTGGAAATAGATGACATCCTAGAATGCGTGCAGTCAAAATGTTTCTATTGATTGAGAGAAAAGAAACAGTGAGACATTTGATTTGTGCGTCCGTAAATGGACAACTTCTAATATATAACCTTTATCGTACCATTATCATGATCAAAATATTGTGCACATTAGAATGGTTTTCGTTTCATGCGGTTTTTACTAGTGTAAGGCATCAATCGATGATATCGGGGTACCTTTCAGAAGATCATACTCTCTTTTTACCCTGTACAGTCCAACGGGAGAGGGACAACTCGGTAGCAGGGATGAAAAGGATAACAAGGATGGGAACAGGATAGCACAACTGGAGTCAGAGCTAAAAGACATGCAGGATCGGTTACTCAACGTGAGCATGCAATATGCAGAAGTGGAGGCTCAACGAGAAGAACTAGTTATGGAGTTGAAAAGTGCAACTGCAAGGAAGGGACGATGGTTCTAGGGGATGACGAGCAACTGTGTGCCATAACCGTAAGGCCCACAGTCCACAGTACAGGTACTTCATGTATTCTCCTGCTCCTTCGATTACATGCAATTGCAACTTGATTTGTTAGATGTGGAGCACGAAAAAAATTTGGGTTAAATTCAAGGCTGCTACTTCGATAAAACTTTACCTGCTATCGAATACTCAGACACACCATGACAGATGCAGTAGATACTAGCTAATGTAGTACTGGGAATTCCCACCATAAAAAGTTGATTTGTTGTGATGAAACTCAAAAAAGTAACAGTAACATGAATGTGTAACATTGGCGGCACATGGACTGCATGGTTTGATAGCAGATAATGTGTCATAAAATTGGGCTAAACTACACTTATCAAGTGGTAAGAAACCCTCTTTCATTGAAGAAAATTATGGCAGTAAACTCATTCATTGAAGAAGCTTATGGCAGTAAACCCTCTATCAATGAGGAAATCACTGATAACTCTTTATACTTTCCTGATATTGTAGATGCGCGAGCTTGAGCGTGAGTACATCAATCAGTATTTGTGTCCTCATAACGACATGGTTGTCTAATTATCAGGACATATTTTGTCGACGTCGGAGGGTACCGGCATTCCCAGACAACCACCGTGCAAGAGCTGAGTAATTCCAAGCAAGTGCAGAACTGGATATGTGCTCTGAGCTGCACCGGAAGCTGTGCCCCCAAAAGAATAAAATGCTCATGGTTCTCACTTCTCAGGTCTCAGTGATGAAGCAATCACATGGCAACAACAACCATTCACAGTTAGCAGTTGGGAGGCCCTACTACACTTAGTCTCAACCGATTATTAGTTGTCGCAAGCATATGTGGTGCTAGGGGATAGCCTAAAATTCATCGGTTCATATAACCACACAGACCACTCTTCCCTTTACACAGAGCCAACATAACCGTTGGTTAGTTCATCTTTGTAAATTAATCAACTGCTGATAAGTGTAGTTTCTCTTGCTGAATTGTATAGTTGCTCATGTGATATCCTTTTGTAGGCTAATGTTCTTTCACATGTAATATAGTACTCACTCCGTCCCAAAATAAGTGTCTTAACTTTAGTACAAAGTTGAGACACTTATTTTGAGACGGAGGGAGTATATGCACATAGTCTGTCGATTACTGTGTTATTCGCTTGTTGAGGACAGTATTCTGTCAAACACAATTTGGCATATAGCTTCTTTGATTGAATGTGACAATGGGACCCAACAGAGCAATGGTTACAAGAGGTCTTTAGTAGCAAAGAAAGAAATGGGGGATGATTGAGTACTCGGGATGATTGGACAATCTGAAACTGTTGGCAGTCAGGTCATCATTGAAGAAAACAGTTGGGTTCAGTCCACATGTTGATGATGTTCATGCATTGGTGCCTGGAGAACTCTTGGCTTGCATGCTGATCAAGAAATAATAGCTTGTGTTTAGACAGCGGCCTTTCGAATGTCCTTTGCACTCACCAGCTTCGGTGAAAGTATGGATCAGCTGATAGGATCCTGTGTTCAAAGCCAAAGACATGCTCCTCTTTGTTGAAACTTGAAGCATGGCTTCTGAACTGAACTGATCTTGAAACATGCGGTGGGCGCTCCGAATCTGCTGCATGTATTTTAGACAAATAATTATAGTACCTAAAATAATATTACTCCCTCCAATTCATAATAAGTGACAAGGTTTTAGTTCAAACGGACCGGAGAGAGTAATTATTAAGCCATATGGGTTGCGAGGCTTCATATCTACATACAAACTAGTATGCTACTCTACCTAAAAAATCCTATCTGATAGGAACTGGGATAAGATAGCTCAATTTATTTTATATTTATTTATTTATTATTAGCGAAAGCTCGAATTGGGTATTCGACGTGTCGCTATCTAGCGGGCTGTAGTTTTGCCAAGTGACAAATTGGCGCAGGCTACAATTGGATTTGGAAAGCAACCACCTAATACCTATCCAATAATATAAGCAATATAGAACAAAATGTCTCCTAGTTGGCTTGGCCCCATTTACATTTATTTATTCTGAAAATGGAGGATCAGGCGAGGAAGGGGTCAATGATTTGTGCTCCCTTTAGCCAACAAGGAGGAGACTTCTTTCTCAATTTCTGGCTGGCTGTCTATGCATGTATAATTGATAGCCTTGAGAATACAGCTTACCTGGTTTATAATGTCTGCGACTAAGGTGGTCGTTGGTTATATATATTCAAAATGATTAACAAGTACTTCCTCCGTTTCAAGTTACTCGTCGCATAGATGGATGTATCTAGAACTAAAATACATCTAGATACATCCATACCCGCGACAACTAATTCGGAACGGAGGGAGTATACATTTAACAAATATCCTAACAAATGCTAACATAATCAATATATATTTTTACATCAACTAACATTTGATTAATAATACCTTGTTTGCATTAGTTTTGCCTCTTCGGAGCCTACCACGGTGAAACAGACCAGCAAACTTAGGAATGCTATTCGCCGAATTTAGAGAAATAGGGTTCATAGCTATTTTTATTGAACAATGAAACTGACAATCATCACATTCTATATGTATAATGCTTTGATCATACACAACTCAGTGTTCTTAAGAGAATTTGCACAATTGTGAAGTTATTACCACTCTGTACTATCACACCAAAGCTAAAACATAAACTTACCCAGTTAGGTTAGCTGTGCCTGTACACCCTCAGGCATGTACGCGTCATCACCCCCGGGCCCTCGCGGTCGCCGGCGCGCGCCTCGCCGCGGCCTCCTCTTCTCTTATCGCTTCGATCATGGCGACCACGCGCTCCAGCACGATCTCCTGGTCGTCACCGTCGTCGCCGGCACCAGGGCCTGCGCGGCCGGCGTAGTGGCAGACCACGACGCACCGGCAGACGGGGCATGAGTTGCGCACGTCGAGCCACCGGTCGATGCAGGGGGCGTGGAAGACGTGGCCGCACGCCGGGACGACCTTGACGCCGTCGTCGTCGCCGAAGGCCTCGAGGCAGACGGGGCAGTCCCCCTCGGGCTGCTGCCCCTTCTTGGCGCCGGCGCCGGCGTCGGCGTAGCGCACCACGGGGAGCGCCGCGCCGTCGGCTGGGCGGAGGAGGGCGCTCGGGAAGCCGTGGCGCATGGCACGGCCGCCGCGCGCGGCCGCCATGGCGCGCTGCCGAGCGCAGCGGCAGTAGGTGCAGAGCAGGATGAAGCAGAGCACGATGGAGAGGAACACCACGGCGGTGGCCGCCCCCGACGAGAGGTCGAACTGAGACCTCCCCGACGTCGGGGCGGCCGACGGGTCGTCGCGCGAGGCCGCCAGCCGTCTCGCGTGCGCCGCCATGGCCATGTTTCCGGCGCCTGCTCGTGCGCGCGACGAGACGCGCTCTCCTCTCTGGTTGACTGGTTGTCCGGAGGCCACAGCCCACAGGTGGCCCTTTTTCTCCGTGTAATTGGACGCGAGTTTAGTTTTGTGATGATGACTGGTGAGGTGCTAGGTTTTGGGCTACGCGGGTCAGCCAATTTTTTCTTAGGAAATCAGTAGTCGACAGCCATCGATTACATCTAGCCAGGTCCTTCCAAATTGGAAAACCATGCTCGGGTCATCCTTCCCACCCATCTCCCCCGGCGGTTACAACTTACAACCCACACAGAGGTGCAGCCTCGTAGTACGTGGCCGTTGAGCTCACAGCAAGTAGCAGTAGTCCGTGATCAGCCTCACTGCACCTCTGTGTGGCACCTCGCGGCAGCTGGCACGGGCTTGCAACAGTGACCCTCCTGCAGCGTCGCTCGTCGTTCTTGCGGTAGTGCGGCGATCAACTTGCAACATTCAATGTGGGCTTGCAACACCCACCCATGTCGCCGTAGCATCCTGTGGCCTACTGGATCGCGAGTCATCTGCGGTCGTCGCGCCAACCGATGTTGCAGTGCCGGCTGTGCCCCTAAAGCATCGACACAATCATCGCACCACCATCGAGGAACCTTGAAAGCTCTGATGGTCAGCTTTTCTGAGAGCTCGGGGCTGGCTTTGCAGCGCCACGCCCCATTGAGTCACTCTATGCATTTAAAAATCGAACCAAAAAACCATACCGAAAATAAACCGAACCAAACCGATTTTACGGTTTTTATGGTTTCTGGTTTCGGTATAGTATGAACTTTTCATACCGATTTAAACTTTAGTTTTTATATACATACCAAAATACCGAACGGTTAACCGAATAAACCGAAGTAAAAAATAAATTTATATTTCTTGAGATGAACAACCATACAAATTGTCATTTTTCTTGTACATGAGTCGAATTCATTACTAAGCATGTAAAATTTTCTTGTAACATAGTCATTTTTCTTTTTTTGAAATGCTAAGCACGTCCATAACCATCAACAGATGAATCAATGCATGCATATATACTTATATATATAGTCATATACTATTTGTGTAAAATAGTATGTGTTTTGAGTCATAAATTTGCAAATTATTATTATGTCATTTTCAAATTCACGTCAACTTTGGTTTTTATGGTATATACCGAAACCATACCGAAATAATTTGGTATATACCGAAACCAAACTGTATTTTAATTTCATACCGTATTTACCGAAGTATTACAAACCGAAAAATCGTATAAACCAAACCATGTAAACCGAATAAACCGAACGCACAGGGTGACCATCAAGTGTCGGCCTTGTAGCACCAGGCGCAAGTTGTGGCCGGTCTCGCTGCAACACCAGCCACAGTGCTCATATCATCACTAGATGACCGCTCACAGTGCGGGTGGTGCATGTTCGCAACGCCGCCCCCTAGCTCGTCGTGGCGCCAACCGTCCCTTTGCAGTAGTGGCCACCGGCCATGGGAAGAGGCATGCATATCCTCGAGGAGGGCTTGATGCTTCTATGAAGCCATTCTTCACCACCAATGGAGATTTTAATGATTCACTTGGGAATCATTCTCCCAATAGAAGGCATTGATAATTTACTTGGGGAATCCTTCTCGCATTAGGAGGCTTTGGTTCCACTAGAGAAGATAGATCCCACAGAGGGAGATACATGAGCAAAGCTCTATGATTTTAGTTCCAGTCTTTGCTAACCCTAAAATGGAGGAGAAGGATGAGGGATATATGTAGGTCCAAGGCATGAAGGGGTAAGTGAGGGGCAAAAGGGTAAAGATACATGGACTTTGCCCAAATTCCGCATGCAGACGCGCTACCGGACAGTACAGTCGACTGGACAATCCGACCCTTCTGACCGGACAGTCCGGTGGCAACAAAAGGTTTGGAGCCTCGTGCAGACGTTGGCCGGATTGTCCGGTGGTGCAGCTTTTGCACCACTTCATCTATCGCTGCTTTCACGACCCCCTCTTGGATGGTGTTGTCGTCTTCTTGTGCTTGCACTCCTCATTGCGCATGAAGCTCCTCTCAAATCTATACATGCATGAGGGGGGTCAAATAGTGTACCATCCAAGAGAGAACCAAGTATACACACATAAATGATAGTATTCACCTTAGTATATGTGATGTGCATGTCCCTTGGTGATGAAGCCAAGTCCATGGTATTGACACTAGGATGACAACTCTCTGATGTACAAGTCTTCCAACATATGACTACATGAATGCAATGCAAGATAGCTTCTTACCAAGTCTACTCACTCTAGCCATAATATTATCAATTTTGGGCATGGTAGCTTCCATAGGAAGTCCAAGATATGTAAAGGGCACACCCTCTGTAATGCATCCCATTTGATTGGCTAGTTCATTAACACTCTCCTCAGAAATGTCAATAGGCACAAGATAGGACTTCGTATAAAAAGATCATGCGTGAGTAGTCTTCCTCGGACTATGAGTCCATAATAACAGTTATGTGGCGTCATATCTCCCTTGTTCTTCAATACAAAAATCACATTAGCAACCCTACATGATTTTGATCCATTGATGTAATTCTCGGTGTGTTTGTTGTGGTGTGATGAATTGTCACTCCAAACCCAACCCATATGTGGGGGAAAATGGGGTTGTACAGACATGTCCTCCACACCGGACCCGACTGAAAGGATCGATATAGTTGACTAGAGGGGGGGGTGAATAGGCAACTAACAATTTTAGCTTTTCTTTAACAAATTAAACTTTGCATCAAAGTAGGTTGTCTAAATATGCAACTAGGTGAGCAACCTATATGATGCAACAACAATAAGTACACACGCAAGCAAGGGATACAATACAAGTAAGCTTGCACAAGTAAAGGCACGAGATAACCAAGAGTGGAACCGATGGAGACGAGGATGTGTTACCGAAGTTCCTTCCTTTTGAGGGGAAGTACGTCTCCGTTAGAGCGGTGTGGAGGCACAATGCTCCCTAATAAGCCACTAGGGCCACCGTATTCTCCTCACGCCCTCACACAATGCGAGATGCCGTGATTCCACTATTGGTGCCCTTGAAGCCGGCGACCGAACCTTTACAAACAAGGTTGGGGCTATCTCCACAACTTAATTGGAGGCTCCCAACGTCACCATGAAGCTTCACCACAATGGACTATGGCTCCGCGGTGACCTCAAGCGTCTAGGGTGCTCAAACACCCAAGAGTAACATGATCCGCTAGGGATTAGTGGGGGGGAATCAAATTTCTCTTGGTGGAAGTGTAGATCGGGGCCTTCTCAACCTATCCCGAGCAAATCAACAAGTTTGATTGGCTAGGGAGAGAGATCGGGCAAAAATGGAGCATGGAGCAACAATGGAGCTTTTTGGGAAGAGGTAGGTCAACTTTGGGGAAGAAGACCCCCTTATATAGTGGGGGGAACAATCCAACCGTTACCCCCCAAGCAGCCACGCAGAGAGCGGTACTATCGCTGGGGAGGGCGGTACTACCGCTGAGCCAGTGGTACTGCCGTCCTGCCTAGCGGTACTGCCGCGCAAAGGAGGGGAGCAAGGTCCTGGACCCTGAGCGGTACTACCGCGATGGTAAGGGCGGTACTACCGCTTAGGAGCGGTACTACCGCCTCTACTGCCGCAGCTAGTGCCTCAAAACCCGACATAAGAAAAAGGGCCCTCGAGTCGAGGCGGTAGGAGCTCGGAGCCGCAGCGGTACTACGGTGGAAGGCTCCAAGCGGTACTATCGCTGAGGAGCGGTACTACCGCTTGTTGCACTTGGGCGGTACTACCGTCGTGGCCCGCGGTACTACGTTGGGACCAGACAAGGCCAACAGGAAGGGGAATGAGATCTCCATTGAAGCGGAAAGGTTCAGCGGGTGCGATACAGATGCGTACGTGTTGATTCCACCCTAGCCTTACCAAAGCATATCCCCTCTTGATAGTACGGTGACTCCTACGAAACTAGTCCACCAACATAGAAACGAAAGAGCTGCACCGTCTTGAATAAAACACCGAGGGGAGGGAATTGTCTTGTGCCAAAGGATGAATATCTGAAAATCTCAACGCACACGATTAGACTGCAAAAGCATTGTCATCAATCACCAAAACACCTTAGGGATGAAAATGCCCTTACAATCTCCCCCTTTTTGGTGGATTGATGACAATACGGGATTTGCACAAACGGGAAAAGACATAGGACATGCGCAAACCCCACAACTCTAAAATATAGATGGGATCCCCCTAGATGTGTGCTATCTAGATAAGTGCTTTGGACTACACGGCACACATACTAGGATCAACGCTCCCCCTACATTTTAGAAACCAACAACCTAAGCAGGATATATGAGAGCAGAGTATATATCAGGATAAGCATGCAACTCATAAGATACCAAAGGACTAGATAGACATAGATAATGATAATATAAAGATAAGGTAGCATATGTCTGGAACTTAGGTCTCACTGGCACAAAACCAAACAAAGCAAACGGCGAGAAAACACAATGACACCACAAAGACACACGACACCACAAAGACACACTCGCAAATCAGACAACGACACAAATCCCTAAACTCTCTCCCCCTTTGGCATCGAGACACCAAAAAGGGAGGGAGTGTTGCTACAGCTCCAGATGATAGCAAGGGAGGGTCTCGAACATCATATCCCAGTGGGATCATCTGCACCGCCGTCATCGGTCGGAAACTACTCGGCGTCTGAATCTGTCCACGGGCAGTGCTGCTCAATCCACTCCTCCTCCTCAGTTATCTGGCCCTCAGAACCACTATTAACGGTCACACCCAACTGACGCATGAGCTCCTTGTGACGTCCCCTGGCCTTCTTCTCAGCCACATGAGTCATGTACTGACCATGAGACTCCATGCAGAAAAGCTTCTTCATCTTGAGCTTGAGCTTCTTTTCCCAAGAGGGCTCTGCCCCAGAAGGCTCATAGTCATCGTCATCATCAGCCTCAGCCTCCTCCTCGGTCTCCATGGCAGC